GAGGGGGGACGGAGCCCGGCCCGGGGTCTGCCCTGCTCCCCACACGGCGGGGAGAACCGCCCCGGGGCGAGCAAACGCCCCCGCATCTCCTTTCTTTTCGATTTCACGTTGCTGTCGGTCCCTTCGCTAGGAGGGGAGGACGGTCCTAGGCTCGTCGCAAACGGAGGAACCAGCACTGCGGAGGGGTTTTTGCTCGTTTGTTCGTTCGTTTGTGTTTCCCCCCCTCTCCCGGTTTCGTTTCTACACGTAGAGCCTTTGGAGCCCTTGCTGGGCCACATCCCGCCCGGGGAAGCCCATCCCCGGGGCGCCCGGCCGCCGCGCCGGGGGCTCCCGGCCCTGGCGGGGAGCAGCGGGGCGCCGGGTGGAAGTGTGGCCGGGAACGTCGGTTCCTTCCCCCCGCTCCCCCGCCCGCCGTTTGCTCCGTTTTCCTTTCTGGTTCGGGATTTGTAAATATACCGTTCAACGATAACGACGCAAGTCCGCTCTGCCTGAGCTTTCCGTCCGTGCACTTGTACTGTGTAAGCCTCATGAGTGAATAAGGGGTCGGTTTGCCTTGATTTCGTTGCTTTGGGTTCTTGGGGTTTGTTGGTTGTTTTGTTTGTTTGGTTGGTTTTTTTTTAAGCTATAACACAGTTTGGTTGGGTTTTTTTGTTGTTGTTGTTGTTCCTGCCACCTTTAACAAAGTTTGAACTCTTTAATGCTCTTTCTGTGTAGGAACTTTCACACTGTCCGTGTTGCAATACTGAGAACTTGGGCTTGTTTCTGAAATAACAACTTTTCTTATCGCTGCCCCTTGCAGAGATTTTATCATCTGTTTATTTTTGTAAAAAAAAAAAAGAAAAAAAAAGAAAAAAGTTGCTAAATAATATTTATTACTTGTTTGGTTGCAAAAAAAAAAAAAGTGATCCACTGTTGAGATTTTAAATAAAAAAAAAAAAAAAGCATTTTAAATAAATGGCCTTTTCCTCTTCCTTGCTGTTCCGAGGCGAGCGGGGAGGCGGAGGCAGGTGCCGGTAGCCGGCGGGCCACCGGCCGCAGAGCGGGGAAGGGAGGGGGACATTTTAGGCGCATCCTTGCCTTTTCCCGAAGTTTTTTGTTAGTTTGCTCCGCCGGCTCATTGAAACCGTTTGAGTTTGGTTGTGTGTTTTTTTCTTTTTCCTCGTTTGTTCTTCGCAGAGTAAGGACGGCAAGGAAAGAAATGACTCTTACTGGGTTCGTAATGTGAAAATTTTTGTCTACCGAATCCAGCGCTTGGCAAGAACTAAATATTAATCCGGGGAAAGGAAACACTAAACTTGGCGGTGGGGTGTTTGCTCACTGTAATCGCTTCTGCGCCCTTGACCTTCAACCAAAAACCAACCAAACGAAAATCCACAGAAAGGAAAATTATTTGGGGACGGTCTTTTTTTTTTTTTTTTTTTCTTTTCTTTTCTTTTCCCCCTTCTCCCGCCCGCGTGTATTTTAGCAGCTCTGTACTCAGGTATTTGGGCAGGAGACGTTTCGCCCTCCCGCAGACCCCGAGGCAAAGGCTGTCTTCACGCAGGCAGGGTGCGGGCGCGCAGCAGCCTGTGGCTTCCCCTTTTCCCCTAAGGGGAAGGGGGACGACCCCAGCGAAACCCGTTTTTTGAGGA